CATGGGGGAGAGGGGAGGAGGAAGGGAAGGGAAGGGGAAAAAAGGAAAATGAGCTGATTCCGGGAACCCAAGAGGAAAGCGAATTTTGGGAAGAATGAGGGCAACAGATGTATAGATGTGCTTTACACAATTGATCTATGTATCGTGATGAATTGTATGAGCCCCAATAAATTGATTAAAAAAAAAGAAGTCCAGCCAGAATGCTCCTTAGAGGCCAGGATGGAAAGACTTCATCTCACCCACTTTGGACGTGCGGTCAGGAGAGACCAGTCCCTGCGGAAGGACATCATGCTTGGTCAAGTGGAGGAGCAACGAACGCGAGGCTGGCCCTCAGTGAGATTGGACGGACACAGTGGCTGCAACGGTGGGCTCAGACATAAGAACACAGGTGGGGGTGGTGCAGTGCTTCGTTTTGTTGTACTTGGGGTCACTTTGAGTCAGAAGCCCCTTGATGGCACCTAACAGCCACATACCTACTTTACCACGCGTGGGGGTGGTGTCCTTCCCCAGGGACCGGTCTCCTGATCACAGTACAGTGCAGCTGCCTCCCTGGCCCGCCTTCCTGCCTCACTCTTGCCTCACTGGCTCCAGGACCAGCTGCATGGGGCTCCGGCCACCTCAGTGCCTTCACAGGTTCTCTGGGTGCCCTCCGCCCCCCAACACCCAGGCAGCTAGTCGATGGGGCGTGGGCACGGAAGGGCAGGGCGGTGGCACCCCGATTTCTGGGGTGTGCGGTGCTATCCCGAGAAGGGGTTGAGGGGTGGCGCGGTTGCGGGCTCGTCCGGTGGAGCCGCCACGGGCGCTGGAAGCTGGAGTCCCAGACCCTCGCCCCGTCTGCTCTCCTAGATCCGCGACGCCGACCCTTTAAAGTCAGGGAGAAAGCGCGGCGCGTGGCCGCTCGCGTGCCCGGGTAGCGGCCACGCCTCACAAAACCCGAAGAAGAATTGAAGCATTTGAGCATGGTGCTAATATTGCCAGTACTGTGGACTGCCAAATAGCAGTTATGCATTGGGCTGCGACCTGCATGGTCAGCAGTTTGACACCACCAGCAGCTCACTGGGAGAAACACTGGGCCTTCTGCTCCCGTCACCGGTTACAATCTCGGAGACCCACAGCATTGACTCAATGGCAATGACTTTGATATGGGAAACAGAAGGATTTCTCCCAAGTTGTCTCCCCCAAATATATGCCA